GAGAGAGAGAGAGAGAGAGAGAGAGAGATTGATAACTAGATTGTTTGGACTAACAGAATAGCTTTGGTCTGAAGCTCGTAAGCCATGAGATCCTTGTAATCGGTGTTCGAGTGGTTGAATGGAGTCCTCACGCCATCAATGAGGACAATGTTTTTGCCCGAAAACTTTTGCCCACTCGTCGTAGAGGCGCAGCGGACGCCCATCGCAGCCGCCGGTGACCACAATCGGGTCAATCCATGCATACGTGCCGTTGAAGTCAACATTGTTTACGTACACCTGTGAGGGGTCGGAGGGGTACAGATATAATGGGCTATTATTAGACATGTTATATGCATTATGAACGTGATAATCGCGGTGTAGCAATTAAGCTAGCTCATTTATTAATTGACATTTAATTAACTCTAATAAAATAAATATACTTACAAATTGAACGTGAGTATTTTTTCCTAAAAATGTATTACAAGTATTTATTAAATATTTATTTGACGGGAAATAACTTTACGACAAATGTTTCATTCAATTGTATTATTATTGTTATTATAAATCAATTAATAGTTTTAATCATAAATATTATAATTTGAGTTAAAAATTAAATGTTTTAACGTTTGCATTGACTTTGCATTGACTGGTGTTTTGTTGATAAAACCAGAGTACTGTTCACAAACTCTGTTACATCGGTTTTATGTTTAATCCCCCGCAAGCGTACACTTCACCCCCTATAACTTTATTTGAATTGACCATCTTATAGTTTTTAATTGTATTAATTTGCAAACATGTTAATTTTAGTACTGTTTACGTATAACATGATAATTCATATTATTTGTGACTTTCATGTATGTTATGATTTTAATTATAAAAATTAAATATGGCATATTTTATCAGACATAACTCCCATCTCCCCAATTAACATTTCGTTATTTATTGTATTATTTAATTATACTTTACTGTAGTACAGTAAGTACAACCTAATCAGTTTAAAAGTTAGGTGAACTTTAGTACTTGTATTAGACTATGGTGATAAATTCAGTTTAATATAAGCAATCTTTTAATAATTTGGCATAATTTAGTAAAAATTATAAAAATTAAATATTAAGCTAGGTTAATTTTATAGGTAATCCGGGTAACCCGGGTAATAGTTGTCAAAGTACCTTATTACAGACAGATATAGGTTGTTAAGTATACATCCTGGTACCAAATGATTTTACCGTTCTGTTTTGTACTCAAAAGTACTCAAAAAAAAAATAATGTCAAAAACTTGTATTTTTAATCATTCTCAATCTAAACAACTATTCCATACAAAATACAATAGCCAAGGTTAATGCATGGTGTTTAACGATACAATAATTAAAGTTACTTAATAGCATATTCTATGGACTATATTATAGTCACTATAAGTAAAATTAGGCATATTATAAAGTGCTGGCGACTTTTATAAAAATAAGTACCGTATTACCCCGCATATAGGTGCATGCACTTATATGTGAGTTTTCACACAAGGGGTGCACCTATATCTAGGGATGAAAATTTCACTGAAATTTTCATATGAACATTTCATTTAGACTAAATATTGAAATTTTGGGCTAAATTTTCATTAAAATGTGAAATCTTCATATGTTTTTAAACTACATACTTTAAATGTGATGAAATATATAAACATCAAACTAATTAAAACATTTTTCACTAAAAATAATTATGAAAATTATTTTGGTTCTTTAAATATTTCAAATTAAGTAAAGATTCTTGCAAATTCTGTTATATATTCTGTAAATATTTCACTTAAAGTATAAATTCTAATATTTTATACTACAAAATAATAATGTATTTACAACACAATAAGTATTCTATTTAGTATTTAAATAAATCACTTTTTAATAATAGTTGTTAATTTAGTTTAAATTACATAAATTAGTGATTTATTTAGTAAATAAGTGTAAAATAGATGTCGCTAATATAGAGTGGTTGAAATTTAGCCTAAATGTTCATCGAGACCCCTAAACGTTCCCTAAATTTAGGGCTAAATTTAGCCCTAAACGTTTCCAAACTTTCACCACTAACATCTCTACCTATATCCGGATATAGGTGCGGCAGGTTTTGGCACATTTTTGACTTTCAATTGAAATTTACATATACCTTGAAATGAAATTCGAATGACATATTATTAAACTTTGAACTCTAAAATGTTACTTTAAATGTTTAAAATCTATATGTATTTTCTTATCTATTTATGAGGGTCATGAATAATGAGTACATTAGTGTAAAATATTTCATATAATAAACATGTCTTCAAGTGATGAATCATCACTAATGAATCAATTCAAATAATCAGTGAATAAATGAAAAAATCAGTGATCAAAGTGTGACAAAACAAAAAAAGAAATTAAAATAACAATTTACTTTAAATTATTAAATAATGAATCATCTATCCATTAATTTATTAAATAATTTTGACAAATAAATATTGGTGCACTTATATGTGATTTTTACACAAGGGG